CATTGGAGATCTTGTGTGGCTACACCTTCGCAAGGACTGCTTCCCCCACGAACGCAAGTCCAAACTTCGACCACGAGCGGATGGACCCTTCAAGGTGCTTGAATGCTACAACAACAACGCCTACAAGATCGACATTCCACGCGACAAGTACTTCGTGAGCGACATCTTCAACATCAAAGATCTCTCGCCCTACCATGGTGATGAGGATTTCGATCCGAGGTCGGATCTTCCCAAGGGAGGGGAGATGTTGCGGAGCATCCTATGGTCATCCCCATGGACCTACCATCATCTCACGAAGTGCCAAGAGGACCTATGACTCGAGCTAGAGCTAGAGCTCTCGAGACCGAGGTGACTTCTCTCCTTAGTGATATTACATATGACCCTCTCGAGACATGGCTATTACCTAAGTCCGAAATGTTGTGCATGATTAGGTACCAAGAGGACCCTCCCGAAGATGCACATGAAGACAGACAAGAGGCCAAGTCCACGGATGAAGAGGAACGCCGAAAGGAGAAGAAGGCAGCTCCAGGGCCCGGACATCCGGCCGCTGGAGACATCAACTACAGCAGCATTCCAATCGTCGAGCATCTACAGGCCCCAGACATCCGGCCCCAACGCCCGGATATCCGAACAAGCTGCAAACAGAGGACAGAAGAGAAGCCCCGTCAGCCCGGTCATCCGGCCCCAGCCCCGAACATCCAGCTCCTCCCGAAGGCCCAGACGTCCGGCCCCGTCTGTCTGCGCACAGTAAAGGGCCGAGGCCCATGTACCCTTTCGCCCCCTAGACTATATATACTCTCCTCCTACCTACGTTTTAGGGTTAGCGTTGTGTTAGCTCATTCGTGAGATAGAGCTTCGCTCATCCATCCGGATCTACTCCACGAGAGAGACCGCGGCCCCTCTTCGGAGAAGATCCACTTGGATTCAAGACCTCCTCACGGAGAAGACCATCAAGACCTCCTCACAGAGAAGACCGGTTACCATTTGTATCGTCCCTTGTTGACTTTGGATCTTGTATCTCCTTTTGTGTTCATGGATCTAGCACATGTGACTTAATCTTGTTGGTTTGAGTGTTTCTCTTTGTGCCCTTTGTGATTTCCCCTCGTGTTCATCGCAGGATCCGCTCCTTTCGTGAAAGATCGGCCCCTAGGGTTTCCACCCTACATCACGCGGAACTAGGGCGCCTCGTCGCAGAGGTGCCATGGATCGAGAGGATGGAGCTCGATGTGTCCTCGAGCACAAGGTCGAGTAGGGAGGCGCTGCGCGTGGGATTTGGTGGGGTTTCGATAGCTGGCTATACGGTGATAGAGAAGACCATGGTGTCGAGCTTCGGCGGCGATGGTCAAATCCATGGCGGGGACGGGGCTCCCTCCTGTTCAGAAACCTGAGAGACATGGATGAATAAGAGAGAGGGGGACGAGAGAAACGGGGGAAGGAGACAGGGCGTGGGCGCTTAACTCATGGTCGCAGGCGACGGTGCCGATCGTTAGCCGACGAGGCGGGATGGAGGAGCACGGGGCTCGGGCGACTGATTGCTCAAGCACGCAAGACGAGGGAGACGGTCGGGGAGGATTTTGATCGTGGTTGATTTTGATCGTGGTTGCGGGCTCTGGTTGGTGGTCTAGATCGGGAGGGGATCCCAAGGAGGAGGACACAGCGGACTGGCGGCGGGTAGGAGGATCCCTAGAAATTAGGGATTTGTCTGATGATTGCACTACTTAAATAGGTAGGTGGGTTAGGAGGGGCAAGTTTTGGACCCTCCGGTCAAAATCAGGTGGTCGAGAAAAATAGGCTATGGGCGTCCAACTGAGAGAGCGAAGATATTTTTGGGGATGATCCGGACCCATCGATCACGACTGCCCGGGTCAGGTTCGGGTAAGTTTCAGACACGCATGCGAGGGGTCGGTGCACTGTGCAGAGAGGTTAAATGGCCAGACAAGAGGGATTCAAAAACCTAGTTGGTCTCGGAACAGTCAACGAAGGCAAGGGGTTTAATGGGCTCAGAAAAGAGAGAGAGAAGAGAGTGGTCTGGCTGGTCTAAGAGAAGGTCAACAGAGACAACGAAGAAGCGGTGACTATGAGCGGATGCAACTTTTGAAAACATGACGACAACGGAGTGTCTATGCAATGTGAATGATGTGATGATGAATGTAACAAACAAATAATTAACAGAGCCGACACGCAAAACAAGGAAGGCATCTGGAGCGTCGGTCTCGGGTCATCACAAGTTGCTCCGTGACTTCCCTCTAAGTACCTGATCACGCATAGGGTCTTCGCTTGAGGTAGTAGCCATGTCTCACATGAAGAATGTATAAGTTCGAAGAGGAGCGAGTTCACCTTATCTTCGATAGCCTTTACTCGAGCTCTTGTCTTTGGTCCAAGTGGTGTCGTGGGAGATGTAGGTAGGTCCACGGGGATGACCGTAGAATGCTCTGCATCAATTTGTGTCTCCTCCACGAAGGTCTTCATATCTATCTCGGGACCGATGAGCTCCGCGTCTGCCTGAGTTTCGATCTCTAAGAAGTTCAAGTCTTGCTTTGGTCGTCCGAGCCGCAAACACGCTTTGTCGAAGGCGTGGGCGGCGATGTCCGACGAGTCATACGTGTTGAGCCAATACAACACGCCCTACTACATGATCTCGGCTGAGAAATAACCGGAGTCCCGTCGACAAATGTCGTGGAAGCTGGTGGAGCTCCTTGGTCGGCGAAGCGTGGCATGGTGGATCCCGGCAACAGAAGTTCCCGATGGTCGGAGAGAGGAGAGGTGGCGGTCGATTTGCGGCGTGAGCGTCGACAGCGATTGATTTGGTGACAGCGAGGGCGCAGGCGATCGGATTTCGTGGCGGTGGAGGCGGCGGGCTGCGAGTTTGGTGGCGGCGATGTGACGAATGCGCCAACCAGAGAGAGGCATGGGGTGCTAGATCTGCAACGACGCGGCGTGCCGCGGCAGGCGGTGGCCGTAAGCCTGCAAATTTGGCGACGACGATACTACGACTGAAAGTCGGGAGATTTGGCAAAGACGGCGTGCCGAAAAGGAAAGCAGGCACGTGCGCGGCTACGGCTGGAAGTTTCAGCCATGAGGTCGCGGGTCGGCAGCCGGTTTTGTGTTTGGGCACAGTCGCGTAATGCAAATACTGGTTTTTGGGCAGCCCTAAAACGGGACCACATATTTTTGCGTTTAGGGCAGCTGTTGGAGCTCGTGTGTTTGGGCACGCAGCCGGGTGATGCAAATATACATCACTTGGGACTGGTTTTTGGGCAGCCCTAAAACGGGACCACATATTTTTTGCGTTTAGGGCAGCCGTTGGAGCTCATATATTGTTTGTCGAAGGATGCGAAAAAATTGGATTTTTTTTTTGGGCAACTAGAGATGCTCTTTAAGGTACTACAATTCCATCTCGAGATTACCAAAAAAATAGTCACTTGTCTGGCAATATCTGCACTCATTTCAAGTCCATAGGTTGCGTCCAAACCCTACCCAACATGTCATGGGTAAGGTTATGAGTATAACATTTTTATCAAGGCCATGCCCTAACATTGACCCAATAAGCTGACATGTTAGGGCAAACTATGGTTCGTGTTCAAACTATTAAAATCATATGCTTCAATCGTGTCTGTGTGCTTTGCATGAAGCCCTTTGTCTAAATCATTGAAGCCCTCTGTTTGAACTACCGTAATTCTTTTCTTGACCATGTCATAAAAACTGAGTTTAGTTTCAAATTTCTTTAAAAAGATTATTGTTGATTTACATATATTTCAATGAAGACCTACATTCGATGAGGTTACAAATAAATGATAGCTCAGATGTCCAGCCCAGCGATAATGTAACTTAGATATACTCTCTCCTTTTCGATTTATAGGACTTATCTCAAAATTTTAGGTTTCCCGTTTTATAAATCTCAATTTCATTGTTCCACATAACATGTTAAATTTTAAGGTGCATTAATTCATTGCATGCAAGGATTAAGAGAAAATTGACCAATACATGTACTTCATGCATGCATGCATTATAATTAATACATTGATAAACACAATTCTTTGAAAAAAACGAGTGCATTAATTGAGTGCTTTTATAAACTACAAAAATTATTCCGCCACTTATCATCTACCTTGTTTGATGAGATTTTTGAATTGAGCCTTATAAGACTAGCCACATTGAAGAGTAACATATTCTCTCCGTCCGGTAAAGAGTGTACATTTAGAAATTTTAGGACAAATTATGGGATTGAGTAAAAAATGCATTGGAAAGGTACAAGCTACCATCTCTCTCCTCTTTAATTACTCAACCCCCAATGAGCTAAGTGCATGTAGAAATTAAAAAAAACATATGTAGATTGCTATTGGTCTTGATTACCGTGTGATAAGAGAGAAATACTTTTCCCTACTTTAAAGTGCATTGGGAAGATAGAAATACACTCCCTATCCATATAGCATCACTCGTACCTCCTTTAGTAATGATCGCTCCCTCCCTATCCATATTAATTATTAATTGATGTTGGTTTAGTACGGAGTAGAAATGGGTCGAAGGAAACAAAGGGTCAGTTTAGTTCGAGGCCTGGCCCTTATGCCTGGCAAAAAGTAATGCCTGGATGTCGCCGGAGAAGTTGAAGAATTCTGCCTGCCCAGGCTTGCCTGGTTCATATGCGTTTGGTGGATAGTCGCCGTACTACAGTACAATTAGGTAGATAAAACTCTGGACACCCATCAGTCCATCACTTCCATGCAAAAGAAATATTAAAATAGTACCAGGCAGATGCATCAGCCCACCAGGCGTGTCAAACGGGACGCCTGGCCCAGGCTAATCATGTTGCCTGGCTGGCCAGGGCAGGCTAATGGCATTGACAAGTTTTTAGGCCAGGCTATAATAAGATGATTGAGCAGAATCCAGGCAAGATCTCAGGCACCCTTAAGGCCAGGCAATCTTGCTTCAGGACATGATCCAAACATGCCCTTAAGTGCGATTCATAGACAGCAAGTTAGGTCAGCAGCCTGAAACCGAACTCATATATCAACATCCCCTCCGGAGCTGGGTGAATCGCCATCACTGCCGTCACTACCACTGGTGCTGCTGCCGCTCCCGCTTCCGCTTCCGCTCCCGCTGCCGCTGCTGCTTCCACTTGAACTAGAAGTGGCCTGCTCCATCTGCTGTCCTTCTGCATTGACTTGAGCTCGCAGCGCCTCAGCTGCATTAAGTCCCTCCTCAGCTTCGTCATTTACATCAACATCAGCAACCTCATCATCCATGTCGAGCTGATTTGGTAAGTTGATGTCAAAACCGCGATAAGACGTCTCTTGTGCTGAGGCCATATTATTGGGTGAGCCATTGTCATCATCACCGAGTATGTCTAGGTTTTCATCTTGGTCATTGGGATCAGGCGAAGAGGAAAATGGGTCCGTGGTGACTGGTTGATATTTAGAGCTCCTGTTACTGTTTCTTGGTCCTGTCATTAGCAAGGGGCAAATGAACATTTATTACAATCTTGGCCGACAAATCAAGAAATTTAGCATATCATAAATAACACAATCTTTGGCAACGCTTTAGAGTATAAATGTTTTTTTTCTCATTGCTCCATTTGAATCGGATGGCAAACTTGATTGTAGCATCGGATGCATGGTGAAGAATCACCATGATCACATTATTTAAAAGAAAAGGTCCACTTATCAACGCTCAAGGAAGGCAAAAGTTTACTTTTCAACCCTGAACTCCAAAACCATTTAAAACGCAACATTGAACTATTCAAACAGTCCACATTTGACCTTAGAGTGGTTCCACAAGTGCTCTCGGATGATGTGGATACCACATGGCTGCTATGTCATCGTTGGTATTAAGCTATATCTACACTTACTTACTCCCTCCTTTCCGGTTTATAAGGCTCATCTCAATTTTTTTGTTTTTCCAATTTAGAGGGCTCATCTCCATCTCATTTTAGTTTCCAATGCGCATTAAATCTTTGCATGCAAGAATTAAAGAGGAACAACACCAATGCATGTAATGCTCCTACTCATCTAGTGGCCAAGCATGCATGCACTGCAATTAATCCAAATTAATGCATGAGTTTAATTGGGGTAGTTTTGTAAAGTACAAGATACATTCCTCCACTCACAAAATGCCTTGGTTGATGAGATTTGATACTTGAGCCTTATAAACCGGAAAGGAGTATTTCGTCCGTAATTTCGTCGGTCCACCTCGCCCGATCGGTTTTTCCTCTCGCAATCTCATAGGTTGCACCGGTTTCCGTGGTCCGCATGCACGCCTTCTGTATTATTTTTTTCGTCCAAATGCAGTTTCCTCAACTCAGTTTGTGGACCCTGACTTGACTTGGAATCTGCCTTAACTAAAGCCTCATATATTTAGGGCATGTACAATGGTGCTATCTTAGGAGTGCCACGTAGGATAAATGATGAGGTGGAGGAGAGAGAACTCATAAGAAAAGGCTTGTCTTCTCCTATTTAAGAGAAGACAAGAGATGATATCTTAGTACACAATATGTCGCACCATATTTTTAGAAATGACTAGTTATTGAAGATAAGACTAAGAGATAACCCATTGTAGACATTTTTTTGTCATCTCTAAATTACATGCAAGACTTAAAATAAGACTATCTTATCAACCACTGTACATGCCCTTAGATAGAGAGGAGAGGACGGGTGAATCCCGCGGGAGGCGGAGGAGCGGCGGACGAGGTCACAAGGAGGCGTACGTCAAGGCTGATGCTGATCCCATCGGGAACTACATCGACCGCTGTCGCCTCTCCTGTGAGTGTCCGGGAGCCCCTCCTCCCACAAACACATAGCACCGTCTTACGCACGTCCACCGCTCGCTGCCGCCAGCTGGTCGTCATCTCCCTCACCGGCATCCCAACATCGGCAGCAGCCTTCCTCTCTTCGACCGTGACATATGTTTCGTACGTCGTCCCATGCCATACGTCGCGCACCTCTCTCGATCCAGCCCCCTGCTCCCTAACACGGCAAGGAGATAAACGCTGCCGAGGTCAGGTCAGGCACGGCAAAGCAGACCAGACCCCATCCAGCCCCATCATCCTTGCTGCGGCAAGGAGATGGGCGCTTCACAGCGAAGTAGGCTGGATAGATCTGATGCACGAATACACCCCATCCATGGATGCAAGGTCTCCGTGCTCATCGTCGATGGCTGCACCCTCGCCAAGCCGCTCATCATTCGCGAGTACATCCATGACGTGTGGCCTGGTCGGGAGTCGCGTCCCACGCCTTCATCCGAATTCAACACAACCAGGGTACATGGCAGACGCCCACGGGCAGAAGGATTCTACCACCGTAGAGAACATGAACCGCGAGGGCGTCCATGCCATACTACATCCAACACTGCCAGGGGCTGGTGCAGCTGACATGTACGAGGGTGCCGACGCGCCATACTACATCTGCCACTGCCAGGGGCTGGTGCAGCTGACATGTACGAGGGTGCCGACGCTTGACGGGGACGAGAGCACAGAAGAGGCTGCCGCCATCGAACCCGGTCAGAGCATGCCACGCCGACCCACGGAGCAGGCTGCCATCGTTGAACCTGGCCAGCCACGATAGTGCATGGACAAGGGCGCCGCAACCGAACCCGGTTTGGCAGCCGGCATGCTGTGTGAGTGAAGCCATAGAGTACCAAGGTGCAGGCCAGCGTGCATTGTGTTCACCCCAGGGGTAAAGTTCACATGGCGATGGGCCGAAGCCGCCACGCTACAAGATGCGCGTTGCACATCCGCGTGGCGATCATGCACGCATACGCTTTCGTAGCCAGGTGCGGTCACATGAGCTCCTGGGCGGCGTAGATATACAGCGAGCATGCATGTAGTACACACAAAGCGTCAAAGCATTAGCCTGACTGACAGTTCTTTTGTGGGAAGAGCCTGACAGATAGTTGTAGCTCCTCAACTAATCTATGTCTAAAGTTTCAAAGCAAGGATCAATATGCAAGTCAAAAAAAATCAAGGATCAATAATGGCAGCCAGATTACACTGCTAAAATTTCAATTTGCTCCAGCTGTTTTGTAGCTATGTACAGACAGACAGGCCTCATGCTTAGGCATTTCACATGAACAATGGAAATTTAATGCAGAAACTCAATGAGATCATGACTAATTACCGTCACATGCAATTACTGGCTACTGCATTCTATTGATCATGCATAGAGCCACAGTGGGAAGCTTCTGTTTCGTGGAAGAACTATGAGTGCAAGTGGACCAAAAAACACACAAAACAGTGGGCTAACTATTGTCCCGTGGGTCCTAGCTGCAGACTGCGTACTCAGCAAGTCAGCAGAGCACTGCTTGCTATGGAGGCTCATTGACATCTGCCACATATGGTAAAATTTTAAGCAGGCCCTATTGTTTTACTTCGGTCTTCCTACTCTTCTTTTTCATATATCCTTCTATTCTCAGCCATGATAAAGGAGCACAAATAAAGTTATTATGATATGCTTTGCTTGACACCTTCTTCGGGTCATCATATAGACATGAGAATTAAGTGTTTAATTTTATCTAATTTGATTTAGAGGACCTGAAACATCCTGCAGTTTTACAACAAAAATTGGACTGGTCTCTCATGCCTAATATTATGTCTTAATTTCTTAAATAAATAGGATATTGCACATAGACAATGCTTTAGTCGACATAACTGCGAATCAACGAAGGAGTGGCGCAGCATGTGTCAAAGCTTTTACCGTTTTTATGCTTCTCAATGTTAGTCCACAAGGAGTATAGATTGATTGACGCTCTTGCCTTTTTTTTTGCATCGAATGTAGGAGCTTTATTAACGAAGTATCATACGGTTATAATCCACCCGTAGGCAAGCAACAAGAAAATCTGGGCTAACATCTAGCCAACTCTCAGTCCCATCAAGTGAACAAGCAAGTCGAGCACATGAAAAAGCATCACCTCGAGGGTCAATTCTAGACATGAAAAAGCATCACCTAGAGGGTCTGAAAATTAAGGCAATGTAATTCAACACTTTCAGTGTAGCATGGAGTTAGTATTTGGTATTATTATTGACGCCTAAAAGATAGGAAAATAGATGCCTTGTGTAAGGATCTGAAGGAGAACTGCGGGATGGGATTGGATTTGGAGGAGGATTGCCGCTTAGGTTTGTTGTGCATACATGGCTGAAGTGGTGGACGACGATCAAATATAATAATTCATTATTTGTGTAATCTCTGGAAGTAGCATAAATCTGCCATGATTAATCAGCTTGATCAATAAGTAATTGGATGTGTCTAGGGCACATCTAGATGTGCTCTAGTTATTGCACATCTAAGTGAGTGAATCAAGCATAAAGAGGAAAAGAAAAAAGAAAAGAAAATATCCACACGAATCTCAACATAAGATCAATGACATAGGACTTAGATGTGCAATACTTATTGCACATCTAGATGTGCTTTAGCAAAACTGTAAGTTATTCTTTATAGGCCAGTTTCACATCCATACCTAAATAGTATCGTTTTTTGATTATTAAGGATTAGCTTCGCATCTTGATAGTGGCATGGCTTCCCAGTAGTTTCAGACAAAGGGAAGATAAAGCAGAAGCAGACGTGTTGGAACCTACAAATTGATACTGCCGGCAGGTAAACTCTTGATTACCACACGAATTCTTAAATTTATTTTATACCTGTTGCCACGCACGGGTATGTTGTCTCAACATAGCCGGTCCCAAGCCCGGGTAAAGGAGGAGGGTTGTGATAGGCTTGGCGAGCCAACGTAAAAACTCAGCCACTCTTATGGAGATGAAACCCAAAAGATTTTCGTTGGGGCGTAACCCTCTCAGCGACGCGCCACATCGAAACCCAGGTGTGGTGGAAAATGGGCAAGGGCCGGGCCGTCACCCCCCAGGTGGCGCGCCGTATCTTGATCCGGATACGGTGGCAAGTGAGCGAGGATCGGGTCGTCGCATCCTTAGTGGCGCGCTACATCGGCGCCCGGATGTAGTGGAAAATGAGCAAGGGTCTTCGCATTTGACTCGACGAGTGCGAAGGGTAAGGAAGCTAGCCGAGCCTAGGAGGATTCGCTTAGGTAGCTGGAACGTAGGGTCTCTGACAGGGAAGCTTCGGGAGCTAGTTGATGCAGCGGTGAGGAGAGGTGTTGATATCCTTTGCGTCCAAGAAACCAAATGGAGAGGACAGAAGGCGAAGGAGGTGGAGGATACCGGCTTCAAGCTATGGTACACGGGGACGGCTGCAAACAGAAATGGCGTAGGCATCTTGATCAACAAGAGCCTCAAGTATGGAGTGGTAGACGTCAAGAGACGTGGGGACCGGATTATCCTGGTCAAGCTGGTAGTTGAGGACTTGGTTCTCAATGTTATCAGCGCGTATGCCCCGCAAGTAGGCCACAATGAGAACACCAAGAGGGAGTTCTGGGAAGGCCTGGAAGACATGGTTAGGAGTGTACCGATTGGTGAGAAGCTCTTCATAGGAGGAGACCTCAATGGCCACGTGGGTACATCTAACACAGGTTTTGAAGGGGCGCATGGGGGCTTTGGCTATGGCATCAGGAATCAAGAAGGAGAAGATGTCTTAAGCTTTGCTCTAGCCTACAACATGATTGTAGCCAACACCCTCTTTAGAAAGAGAGAATCACATCTGGTGACTTTTAATAGTGGCCAACACTCTAGCCAGATTGATTTCATCCTCTCGAGAAGGGAACATAGGCGTGCGTGCCTAGACTGTAAGGTGATACCTGGAGAGAGTGTTGTACCCCAGCATAAGCTGGTGG